TGTGTGGAGAAGAAGAGTGACACGGGGGAAGAAGTGGGGGGGAAAAGGGAGGAGAATGAAGATTCCCAGGCTTGGTATGTAGCTTTGGTATGTAGCTCGTGTCTTGACGAAAGGATGATGGGGCAATGTGGCAACGGGATGATGGGATAATGTGGCAACGGGATGATGGGGCAATGTGGCAACGGGATGATGGGGTAATGCGGCAACGGGATGATGGGGCAATGTGGCAACGGGATGAGCAACGGGATGATGGGGTAATGTGGCAACGGGATGATGGGGTAATGTGGCAACGGGATGATGGGGCAATGTGGCAATGGGATGAGCAACGGGATGATGGGGTAATGTGGCAACGGGATGATGGGGCAATGTGGCAACGGGATGATGGGGCAATGTGGCAACGGGATGATGGGGCAATGGGGGAACGGGATGATGGGGTGATGTGGCAACGGGATGATGGGGTAATGTGGCAACGGGATGATGGGGCAATGTGGCAACGGGATGATGGGGCAATGTGGCAACGGGATGATGGGGCAATGTGGCAACGGGATGATGGGGTAATGTGGCAACGGGATGATGGGGTAATGTGGCAACGGGATGATGGGGTAATGTGGCAACGGGATGATGGGGCAATGTGGCAACGGGATGATGGGGCAATGTGGCAACGGGATGATGGGGTAATGGGATGGGGTGAAGAGGTGACGGGGTAAAGGGATGGGGTAATGGGATGGGGTAAAGAGGTGACTTGGAAATGGGATGGTGGGGTGATGGGATAGTGGGGTATTGGGATTGTGGGTTGATGGGTTGATCGGGTGATGGGATAATGGTGTGGTGAGATCATGGGATTGTTTCCTCCCTATTAAAAAGGTGGACACGACAAATGGTAGACAGTGACAATGGTAGTGGTGGCGAGACAGGCGACAAATGAAAGCACAGATCTGATTCGGTACAAGGCACTACTGACCTCAGTGTGGTGATCGCTGATCGGTGCGTGTTTGTAGATGCAGCAACGGGTGGATGCTACTGGCTGGACTATGCACACCTGGTGGGTGCATTGGGGGGAAGGGTGGCCAGAGAGAGAGAGAGAGCAGTGAAGTGTGTGCAGTGTGATGGACGCTGCTGGCTGCATTACGGACACCTGGAGTGGGGGGAATGGCAATGGGGATGGGGAAGGGGGCGTTGATAGGTAAGGAGATGGGGAAGGGGATGAGGGAAGGGGATGAGGAAAGGGATCGGAATGAAGACAGGGATGGGGATGGGGAATTGTAATGGGAAGGGGAAGGGGATGGCGGGACAATGATGGAGAGTGATGGTTGCACTATGCATACATGTGGGTGAGGTGGATGACAGAGAGAGGTTAGTGATGGGAGGAGGGTGAGCAGAAGGAGCAATGGTTCTAGCCTGATGGTCCCTGATAGTCTCGAATTGCCACCTGGATGTCTATCACTGCCACAATGCATTCAGCCTCAGGGCAGTCAACCTCTTGCCGATCAACCTCATCACAACTGACACCTGTGGGTGATCTCAGGTGAGAGAAACCCAAGAGTGACCTAGGAGTGACATGAGAGCGAGTGACCTGCTACTGACCCACTGGTGATCCATAAATAGCCCACGTTCCTCACACCACACCTTCTTCACGCAGCAATGACTCTTTACAGCCCACCTCCTTCCTGCTACTGACCCGCTACTGGCCCACTAGTGACCCACGATTATCCCACATTCCGTGCACCATCCACGCACCTTTTTCACGCAGCAATGAGCAGCAGCGGTGACCCATTGCAGCCCACATCCTTCCTCACACCACATACCCCCCTCGTCTGTAGGGAGCTACACTGCCAAGCGGCACCTTGCAGCCCCGCACCTCTCACGCACCTTCCCCCAAGTCAGCAGCCTGCAGGTTGCCCGTGAACAGCACAACCGCCCACACCGTAGGGGCAGAAGCGGATGTAGGAGAGGCGGGTGCGGAGCTGGGGAGGTGTGGTAAGGGAGAGGGGAGTGGGGAGAAAAAGTAGAGAGCACAGTGGTTTATGAGAGGGGTATGGAAGACAGTGCCGAGGGGGCACAAGTCCGTACGATGGGGCAGAATTAGGCATAGGAGAAGCAGGTGCGGATCTGGAGGGCGGGGGAAAGGAGGGGAAATGAGTAGTGCGATGCTTGTATCATTCTTGAGGATTCTCAAGAGAGTATGAAACGAAGTGTGGACCAAAGGTGCGGAACAGAGCTAGAAGGTGAGAGAAGCAGTGGGCTAGGCAGGAGTAAGGTAGGAGTAACAGGTGCGGAGCTGAGCTGGGGGGGGGGGGGGGAGTGAGCAGGGAGGAAGTTGGGAGAGGGAGGGAGCAGGGAAGGAGGGAAGGGAGCAACGCCTTGGAGTGACTCAAACAGACATCATCCCCGCCCTACACCGACTTGTCATGAAGTACTTCTCAGCTTCTCTCACACTTCTCTGCACCCCCTCACTCCCATCTTTGTCCCCTCTTACTGTCCCATCCTTCTCCCATCCTCCCTGGTACTTCCCTTCCCTGCTGCAGGTGTTCTGCCTTGATCCTTGTTCCTCCTGGTGTAGGTGATTAGCTTGCCCTCCCTTCCTCCGCGTCTGTCAACCTTTTTGCTTGTTTGAAACAAGTCTCACACCTCCCCTCGGGCTCAGTCAGATTGCTTCTGCTCCTCAGTACTGCTTGTCTCCGGGGACTAGGGAAACGAAATTGCAGTAATAGAGAAACAAACAAGCAAAAAGCGAGAAACTCGAGCGCTAACCCTGCCTAAATCTCCTCAGTCCTCCTAGGTTCCTTCTCCTACCCGCTAGCTTTAGTGCCTAAGCGCGAGTCAGCTGAGCTGATCGCGATAGCCCCCAGGGTGCTAGCTGGAACTCCCCTTCCCACTGGCCATGCACCGCCTGCCTCCTTCAGAATTGAATTCCTGGCTGGAATTGCATTCGCCCCCTTCCCATCAACCTCCTCGGCTTCCCCAGCAACTCGGTTCTGAAAAGATAGTACAGTACACTCCAGCAAGCAAACGAAAGTAAGAAAAACAGAAACAAAATATGATACAACCTCACCTCAGCTGATGTGCTATTCACACTTTAGCCGCCGGCTAAATGTTAATAGCGCGACAGACTGCTCACAGATTCTCACACGTATCAACTTCACCACCCCTCGAACCACTTCTCCCGCCCTTCCTTCACCCCCCCTTCCTTCACCCCCCCTTCCTTCACCCCCCCTTCCTTCCCCCCCCCCCCCAAACTTCACCCCGCTTCTTTCAACCCCCTTCCTTCACGACCCCTTCTCCCTGCCTTTCTCCTACATGCGTCTCCACCCCTCAGGCCGTCTCATCATAGTGACTTCGAGCCTGTCAACTGCCCGCCAGCCCCATCAGCAGCCCCCTTTCACCACCCCTTCGCCCCCCCTTCCTGCCATCCTCCCCTTGCTCCCTGCCGCTGCCACTGCTGCCACCAATGCCGTTTGCGCCGCCAATGCCTCTCGCCCACCTCACGCCAGCAGCATCTGCCTGCCTAGTTGAACCAGAGCAGGAGAAGCAGGTGCGGTGCGGGGCTGGTGGGAAGACGTAGAGGTGGGTTGGAGGAGGTGGGCAGGGGAGAGGAAGGGACAGTGCGTGGGTGAGAGCAGTGCGGCTCCACCATAAGGCAGCAAATCGGACGTAAGAATAGGAGCAGGGGGGGTGGCTGGAGAAGGTGGGGGAAGGGAGAGGGTATGGGGAGTGAGGGTAGCGCGCTTGGTTGAGGGCAGAACGGCATGACCGCAGTGGTGCAGACGTTGGCGTGGGAGACGCAGGTCAAGGGGGAAGGAGAAGGGGTGAGGAAGGAGGTGCGGAAGGGGGTGGTGGGGAGGAGAAGGGGTGAGGAAGGGAGGGAGGGGATGATGCCTTGGCCCGCACTAGGTGAGCAGTGCAGCTGAGCTGTGAGGGGCGATTCCTGTGCAGTGGGGCAGAGGTGGCTGCGGAGGGATGTGGGAGAAGCAGGGGGCGGAGCTGGGGGGAAAGGGGAAGAGGAGGGAACGTGATCAAGGGAAACGGGACAGGGGAGAGGAAGGGGTAGGTGCCTCTGTGAGTGACGTGTTTGTGCAGTAGGAGGGGAGATGTTAGGGGTTCACAAGTCCGTGGATGTGGGATACATGCGAGACAGAGATACAAGTGGGGGCTGGGTGGAAAGAAGGAATCAGAGTTTGGCAGGGGACGGAAGGTAATGGAGGGTAGAAAGGGGGAATGAGTCTCACCTTGGCTGCAGCCACCTTCTCAACTCACTCTCCCAACCACCCCAAAGCCACACGCAGCGACACCTCAGTGACCGATTACCGACTCTCAGAAACTCCCACCTTAGCTAAATCCAGCTATTCAACTGCCCGCTTCTCACCATTGCCGACGAATGACTCAAGAAATTTGTGCTGCCAGATTCCTACACTCATCTTCCCCGCCCGCACCGACCCTCACCTTGGTAACATCCGGCTATTCAATTGCCCCCTGCCACGCATTGGTATAACCCAAAGAGGCCTCTGCCAGCCTATCAGCAGCCCCCCTTTCACCGCCCCCTCGCCCTCCTCCTTGTTCTCCCCGGTACCACCACTGCCGCCACCAACACTGCTTAGGCTGCCTGGCTGTGTCCCCCCTCGTCTCGCCGCCAGGCAATGTTGGGTGATTGACCACATTCTGTGGATCCTGCAGCTTCATTATCGGCCGCTGAGCCGTCACTAGTAGCACAAGTCCCATCATCTATCTTCACAGCAACGATCAGCCGCTTAGTTTCGCGGTTCCGGCAGTCACTCTCCTAAAGCTGCACCCGGATTTCGTGTCCTCAAACACATAGCTCGGTATGTCCGTTGGCGATGCACCGCAGCAGAAGCAGGGATGATGGCAGTCCAGGCATGGCCGTGCTCATGATCGACGGCGAAACTCCAATATGTGAACAGAAAAGCAGGGAATCCGAGTTTGCAATCAGGAAAGGAGACACGCAATTATCCGTGATGGGGGTTATAAAAGTGACTGACGGCTGGTCAAGCAACGCACTGACACAGGTGGTAAGGCGGAGGGCAGGGGGCAGGCGGAGGACCGGGATGGACGGCGGAAGGACGGTGGGAGAACGGGGGTATGGCGTTCGGGCGACCTAAACCCTCTCCCTCGCCGCATGCACCCACCCCGTGAGTGCCCTCCGAAGCCGCACCCCCCTCCGCCGGAGGCGCCTCGCACCCGCCCCCCTCTGCCTCACCGCCCTCCGCACCGCGCCATCCTGCCTCGCCCCCATCCGCACCGCCCCCATGTGCCTCGCCCCTCCCTCCACTCGACTGGCCACGTTCCCACGTTGGCTGCGCCCACTCCATCGCCACGGGGCTGCTGCACCATCGCCCTCCCGCGCCCGCCGTCGCCGCGCCTTCTGCTCGCGGGTGTGCCTCCGTACTGCCACCTACTGAATCGTGGACGCCGGTGCGGCCGCGCATTCCGACCGCCTCTGCTCCAACCGCCTCCGCCGCCGCACGATCGTACGCACGCCGCTCACCGACCGAACCGGCCCCTCCTAACGCCGCCCCGCTGCGCCCTCCCCGTGCATCCGCCCCTCCCCCGTCACCTCCCGTGCACGCCCTGCCTCCGCCCCCCGTTGCATCGTCCAGCCCCTCCCCGTCTCTGCTGCCTCCCTCCCTGCTACCTATCCCGCCTCCCCTGCCCATCCCCCTCTCTCCCCTGGCTCCGTCTCCCGTCGCACCACCCACCTCGCCCCTGGCTTCTGCGGAACGACGAGCTTCACGCGTGGTCCGAGTCGCAAACGCTTCCGCCCACCTCCCGAGGTCCTCCTTGGCTTCTTCTATACATCTCGGTGTGATCGACGCGTATCTACGCAGCCGCAACTTGGTTGGCGTGCCGTTTGCGCTCTGCCAACTGTGACCACCCGACGAAGCTCCGGCTCCGCCGGTATCTCCTTCCCCTCCTTCCCCGCCGCCATCTCCTTCCCCTCTTTCCCCGCTGGCACCGGCGGCTGCATCTCCTTGGGCTTGCCAACGGCCATCTTCTTGTTCTTCTCCTTCCCCTCTTTCCCCGCCGACATCTCCTTCTCCACGATCCGCTGCCCTCTATCTCCCCCTTCCTCCGCCCCTGCCGTGCCTGGCCCCCCTTCTGCCTCGCCCGCTTCCCCCGCGGCCTCCCCTGCCCTCCATCCCGTCCTCGTCTGCCCTCCCTTGCTCCCCGTCTACTGCTACACCCCCCGCCTCCTCTCGATCCACGCCATGACCATCATCTCCACCGTGTCACCCATCCATGTTATTCATGCCTTCTTCCCCGCCCGTAGTAGTGTCGCACGGCGCGCATTCCGTGACATCACCGGCACGAGCCGACACTCCTTCAGGCTCGCTGGGCTCGGCCGAATGCTTTGCGTTTGCTTTCCGCCGAGGGCCGGCGGCAACGGTCTCCCTCCCACGCTTTCTCCCGCCGCTCTGCACACCGCCCCTGCCCCCACTTACATCGCTCCCTCTTCCTCCCCCTCTCGCTTTTCCTCCCCCTCTCGCTCCCCCTCGGCCTCCTCTATCCCCTCGTCCCCCCCTGCCTCCACCGTGTCCCCCATCCATGTTATTCATGCCTTCTTCCCCGCCCGTAGTAGTGTCGCTTGGCGCGCATTCCGTGACATCACTGGCACGAGTCGACACTCCTTCAGGCTCGCTGGGTTTGGCCGAACGCGTTGCCTTTGCTTTCAGGCGAGGGGTGGCGGCAACGGTCTCCCTCCCACGCTTTATCCCGCCGCTCGTTGTATGCATCTCGCTCCGCGATCGAGTCGGGGCAGTTCGGCTTCGAGTTGTGGGCGCCATCTACAGCTTGTGATCTGCGAACTCAGGAGGACACGGACGAGATGGGATAGGGGACGGTACACACTTGGTCGCACGCCTCTGCAATGCAACTGGGTGGCGTTTACGACAAAAACATGAGCGTTCTAAGAACGGTTCGCGCGACCGGAGGCGCCGAACGGATGGGGAACGATCGCTCAACAGGGTCGGGGGTAGGATCTACAAACCACGAGCGTAGTGGAGAGTTTGTGCGCGAATGCTTTATTCCGTCGCAGCGTGGAACGTGATAAAGAACACAATTATGTACTGCGGTTTCAGGGTGAGGAGAGAACTAGAACAACAAATACTAACCTGTACGCGAGCAGTTCTCTTTGTGTTCAGCATCGCTTTTCTGCATCTCTCCTTGGTGTCTGGCTTCAGCACCGGCACAATCGACTTCGGAATGTCTTATTGCAACGAAATATACCATCGGGGAAACGCGGGTCCCCGCTTGCCTTGTGTGGGCTCAAAAAACAATAATTAGGTTTTAGTGTACCCTGCCTAGCATGGAGGACGAGATAGGGAGAGAAGATACACCGAAGTGACGCAACCCCGCACCCAAAATCTTTCCACGAAGGGGAGGGCCACTTCCGCCTTTCCCACCCTTTCTAGGCTCCAAGAATAAAGAGCACACACGATGAAAGCATTTTAGCAGCAACTATGTGTCTCACAAGTAGGTTCGTCGCCGCCGAGAAGCGGTGCGTCACACAGCGGAGGTCGTGCGACGCGCGGTAGATAAGATGCGAACGCTCGAGCGAAGTGCGTCGATAGTAGGGGTACTTCGCACGGGGCTGGAGACTGGGACCTCTGTCGTTACTGGCGTCGGTGCGGAGGACGTCGCACAAGAGTGGTGGGGTTCACACGGGAGAGGTTCGCGTCGCATGTGGGAGGTCGGGGTGTTACGCAGGCTTGTGAAGGCGTTGCACGAGAGTGTGGCGGTATCAAGATCCCTACGACTTTGTGATAACAGCGGGGCACGGTGACGAGTTGCTGGTATGGCGAAGGCACGGTTACAGCATGGCGTAATGCTGGCTAACCTCTCGCGTGGGTCTTGCTAATAATTAGCGCGGATCATATCGACTAGCTACGTGCTTGTACCCTAATATATGCCCTGATTATGGGGCCTACGTTTATTAAGGACAAGCGCGGGCTGTTCCCATTTTGCGTGCGATATTTAGTGGGCGGGGATGAAGCAACTACGATAATGGTGGTAGCTGCTGCAGTGTCGAGCGAGTTCTTGAATGCACTTGGTGTTTCGAGTGCTTGTTGCACTGCCGTTCCCACTCGCTGTTCTTTCCCTCCCAACAACCCCTACCCCTTGCACATGTGCCCCCGTATTTCAGGTTTAGGGTTGCTCAGTTTCGTTTGAAAAGTTCGCCCCCGGCAGTGTTTGTTTCGCCAACATTTGTTCCGAACCCTTTTCCTTTCGTACAGGCAAATCATTTTCGTTGCAGTGCTTAGGACGATGTAAAATGTGCCCGATCTGGGAAACTATCGAATAGCCGCCGCACTGTAACCTACTTTTCGAAAAGACCAATTACCGAACCTTTTACAACCACGTTAATGAACGAGCATGAGCCGATCGATCCAACAGTTTTACAATGAGAATTGTGGTGCCCCGATCAGGCAGTGCGGAACCCACCCGCGCCCAGACGTTCCACGCCCTTACGAACGGCTTGGCTACAGTGCTGTAGGTGTCTGACGAATCGCGGTGCTGAACGCGCGGGCAGAAAGGTTTGGCAAGATGTGGCGTATTTCAGTGTACATAGGATAACTTACCAACTTGATAACAGTTACTGAACAAAAAAAAGTATACACTGTTTACATGCATTTACGTGCATGCGGTTCAAAGCAATACCACTCTTATATGCCCTTTTGTGAAGCGAAGCAGGTATTAGCAGTGGACTAACTACATGTCAGTCTTTCTTATCGATAAACTATAACAGAGTGCCATGCACGGAATAATCAAATGACGAGATTGTGGCTACAACAAAATTGACAGGATGATGTAGCAAGAATTGTAGCTAGGCAGGCAGGCGGGAGGGACTGCAGAGGGGAGAATGGGGGGTGGGAGGGGATAGGATGGATTCAGAGGGGATGGGATGGATTGAGAAGGGAGGTGAGAGGGGAGGTGAGAGGGGAGGTGAAAAGCCAGAGAAAGAGAGTCCTTGAAGGATTCTCCACTCACCTCCCCGCTCACCTCCCCTCTCACCTCCCCTCACCTCCCTTCTCAATCCATCCCGTGCATGGCACTCTGTTATAATTCATATAGGTACCCTGACACCTGGTGTCGCAGCTGTAAATAATGGGTCCCCAAACCCATGGAGGGAAGACAGAGAGGTGTGATGGGGAGGCAAGGAGGTGTGACGAGAAGACAGGGAGGTGTGATGGAAGAGGTGTGTCGGGAAGGCAGGGAGGGGAGAAAGGAAATACATGTGATTACAAATGAGTTAGAGGCATTTATGGGGCAAAAGTGATGGCAGCACATGCACGGGAACAAAGAGGGCATGAGGGGAGGGAAGGAAGCGAAGGGAAGGAAGGGGAGGGAAGGAAGGTAAGGGGCAGGCCAAACAAAGGGAAAGGAATTGGAGGGATGGAGGAGGGGGAGGGTGGGAGGAGGGGGTTGGTTATAGGAAGCAGGAAGGGAGGGATGGTCGTGAGGACTGGGTGAGAATGGCAGGAAGAGTGTGTGGGCGGACGTAGTGAGTGTGACGATGGGAGAAGATTTGAAAAAGGGACGGAGGGGTGGGGAAGGGTGGGATGGGAGGGACGGGAGGGAAGGGTGGGACGGGAGGGACGGGAGGGAAGGGTGGGACGGGAGGGACGGGACGGAAGGGAAGGATGGGAGGGAAGAGATGAAAGGGAGGGAAGGCAGGGAAGGCAGGGAAGGCAGGGAAGCGGAGAAGCGGGTAGGTAAGTGGCGGAATGGGGTTGGATGGGGAGATAATGGGGACATGGGGATGCAGGGAGGGGGGATGGGGATGCAGTGAGAGGAGGTGTGGATGCAGGGAGGCGGTAAGGGGAGAAGGGGAGGTTTGAAGGGGAGAATGGGAGGCGGTAATGGGAGATTGGGGAGGCCGTAAAGTGGGAGAGGGCAGCGGACTGAAGATATTGGGAGGCACACGAGGGCCCGCAGTGTGTTGCGCGGCCTGCGTGATCGCGGTGGCGTGAGGAGGCAGCGTGGGGCGGCGAGGCGCCGCTGCGAGCGGATTTGCGGCGCGACGCCGCGTGCGGATTTGCGGAGAGGTGACGCCGCGAGCGGATTTGGTGGTACGAGACGCTGCACGGGGATTTGCGGCGAGGCGACACCGTGTGCGGATTTGCGGCGATGCGACGCCGTGCGCGGATTTGCGGCGATGCGACGCCGCGCGCGGATTTGCGGCGATGCGACGCCGCGCGCGGATTTGCGGCGATGCGATGCCGCAAGCGGATTTGCGGCGATGCGACGCCGCAAGCGGATTTGCGGCGATGCGACGCCACAAGCGGATTTGCTGCAATGCGACGCCGCGAGCGGATTTGTGGCGAGGCGACGCTGCGACGGGCTTTGAGGCGAGCCAACAAGGCAGCAAGTTGCAGTGGGGCGAGGACGCTACTAGGGGCTCGATGCAAAGGCGATATGCGGCGGCTGGATTACGCAACAGAGATCGACTCTAGGCTGCGTGGGGAGGCAACGGGATTTCTACGTGCAGTGCGGTGAAACTACACGGCGACGCAGTGGCGACCGACGAATGAATGCGTATTCGGCTAACGCTGGCGCCGACGCAACCTTCGGTGTATGACGTAACCCTAAGCTCCGAATTTCAATGGTGTGGGTAGGACTATTCTAGTAGCGCACGCTAAGAATGCTACGTGAGTGAGCTCCTGCAGGGGAAACGAATTAGTATACTTTTGCCATCTATAAACTTTTGAGAGTCGAGTGAGCTGGGAGGAGTTGGGGGCCGCTCGTTTCTCGAGAGAGGGGTTGGGTGGGCTTGTAATTCGGTAACCACCATGTACCGTCATACCCCGGATATACCCCCATGGGGGGCAATAATAAAACAGGTTTTTTTAGGGGGGGTGGGCTTATAATCGAGTAAATTTATAAGCGCCGGCGTTTATATAATGACATAATTATTTTTTATGTTTTTTTAACACCAAACTGTAGATCTCGTGCTTGCCTTTTCAATCGAGTCGAAGTTACATGGGGTCCTCTCTGAAATTATCGCGCGCGCTGGGATGCGAGTGATTCTGACTCACATCCAGCTCCTGACAGCTCCTGCTGACTGGACCCGCATCCAGTGCAGGGTCCGAATGTGAAGGGAACCGAATCTGCAACACATCCGCCTGCTAAAGTAAAAATCGTTACAGCGTTTTGAACACATTTCAAAATTTAAAGTTTACGTGCGCTTATAATAAAACAAGTTTTTTCAGGGGGTGCGCTTATAATCGAGCAGCGGATATAAGCGCCACACGCCAATTAAAAGCGCCAGGCGCTTATCCGAGGGTGGCGCTTATATCCGGGGTATGACGGTACCTTTTATAAACTTCTGGCACTGGCCCTGCCAAATGTATACCGCGCTCGTTCAAACAACCAGATGCGTCATGGAAACACTATGCGAAGGAATCAGATCTGATAGACGAGACGCCAGTACCAGCCCCTCGTACAGGCTCAGACGTGGCTCAAATTCTCTTCATCTCGTCCGTCTGCGGTCATTGGCGCAGTCTGGCGAAGCGTTGCGTGACCACGCTGCTCGTTAAAGAAGGCCTCTTGGTATCCTGCGAAGATCTCTCAGCCGCAGTCGCGTGTTACCCGTATCTCACCCACCTTCATATTAGCGACAACGGCGTCGAGGCGCTGAACGACGTTTTCCTCGACCACCTGGCGTCATCATGCCTGAAGCTGACTCGTCTTCACGTGGGAAGGAGCCTTGCATGCTAACATGGAGATTATCGCAAGGAGGCTTCAATAACCACGGAGGGATTGGATCGGTTCTTTCAAAACCTTCCTGCGTTGGAGCAGGTTACGCTCTTCTGCCTTCGACAAGAGACACAGCTACCGGAGTCGTTTTTTCGACTGAGAAAATTGCAGACCCTTCTTCTCACCGACGATTCAGCCGTGGGCAATCGCAGTCTCTCAAACCTCACTGCCCTTTCCACCCTCTACAACACATTCCCTTGGAATCTTCAGCACCCTTCTAACCTCCTTCATCTTCCACAACTCGCCCATCTCTCCACCCTAGCCCCTCACCAGGACCATCAGCCAGCGGGAACTGCAAGCGAGACGCTGCCGTCTTGCCTAGAATCGATCGTTTTCCTGAATTCGTGTCCTCAGCGGGACACCATTTTCCCATCCTCACCCTTCACCGCGCTCAAGGAGCTGCTCATCGCCAACTGCCGTGAGCTGGAGACCCTTCCCGATGGCATAGAATATCTGCTTCCATGCCTTCGTAAGCTTCATATTCGCAACTGCCATGCATTCACTTACCTGCCCGAAAGCTCCACCTCTCATATATTTTTGGAAACCTTAATCGTTTGTCATTGCAAGAGATTCACTACCTTACCCACCAGCTTCGGTCACCTGCCTGCCCTCAAACTGCTGATTCTCGAGGATCTGTGTCTCACCGAACTCCCTCCTTCCTTCTATCATCTCTCCTCTCTAGAATCACTCTTCATATATGATTGCGATAAGATTTCGCAGCTGCCAGCAGGGTTTTGCCGCCTCACAGGTCTCAAGGTTCTCAGCGTCTTCAACTCGGAGAAGTTTTCCTTGCCACAAGACGTTGGGGCCCTTGCAGGTCTCGAGTTTCTTAAGGTGCAGCTTTGCGGGCAGCAGACCCTTCCGCCTTCCTTCACCGACCTGTCCTCCCTGACCCGCCTTGAGCTGCATGACTGCTGGGCGATCGAGCTTCTACCGGAAGCCCAGGGAGAGCTGAGCAGCCTGCGGGAGCTGGAGATTAGTGACCTTGATATCACCACACTTCCTAGCTCACTCATATGGCTCACGAGGCTTCACACCTTGGTTGTCCAATACTGCGAGGAACTTTTAGAAATTCCTTTTCGCCTGGACACGCTCGTGGGGCTCAAGAGGCTAGATCTAACGGGGTGTAGGCAGCTGGTTAAACCCCCAGCTGGTCTGCCACCCTCTATTGAGACCCTCTGCTTGGGGCCCTTCCTGGAAGGTGCTTCCCATGTGGTGGACATCTCCCAGCTGTCGCAGCTGAAGGTGCTGAAGCTGGAGTGCGTTAACGTGGTATGCGGGCCTGCAGCGGCTGAGAGGTTTTCGTTCCTGACGCAGTTGGATCAGCTGGAGCAGATGGAGCCGGTGATTGAAGGAAAAGGTGGAGATTTCTCAGCTTCTCTCTCTCTCAACGGCGCAGCTCGTTCAATAAGGTGGTGGAGAATCGGGTGCAGATTTTGAAGCTGGCGTAGCAGGTGAAGCAACAACTGAAGCAACAGGAGGAGCAAATGAAGCAGGTGGAGGAGCAATTGGAAGAGCAGTTGGAGGAGGTGAAGCAGAAGCTGCTGAAGTTGCTGAAGCAGGCGGAGGAGGCGGAGGAGGCGGAGGAGGCGGAGGAGGCGGAGGAGGAGGCGGAGGAGGAGGCGGGGGAGGAGGCGGTGGAGGAGGCGGAGGAGGAGGTGGAGGAGGCGGAGGAGGAGGCGGAGGCGGCGGAGGAGGCGCAGGAGGCGGAGGAGGCGGAGGAGGAGGCGGAGGAGGCGGAGGAGGCGGAGGAGGCGGAGGAGGAGGCGGAGGAGGCGGATGAGGCGGAGGAGGAGGCGGAGGAGGAGGCGGAGGAGGCGGAGGAGGAGAGGAGGAGGCGGAGGAGGCGGAGGAGGCGGAGGAGGAGGCGGAGGAGGTTTCGACTTCTCTCGCTCACCCACGCAGCTTGTTCAAAGAGCTGATGGGGCTGTTGGAAAAGCGGGTGCAACTCGAGCAGGTGGAGCGGCTGCAGCAGCTGGAGCAGCTCGAGATGAGTTTGAATGGACGCAATCAGGAGCTCCCAGTTCCCTTAGTGTCTCTCCCTCGCCTGCGCAGCTTGCTGATACAGGCGCCTGGGATTTGCAGCCTCCCGGGAAACCTGGCAGCAGCGTTGCCAGAGCTGAGGCAGTTGAACCTTCGTTGTTGGTCACCGCAGGAGCTGCCAGGAAGTATATGGGAGCTCACCAAGCTGACGTCACTAAAGATCTCCGCATCTCAACTGACGATGCTACCTCAGGGAATGAGCCGCTTGGCTCGGCTGCGCAAACTGGAGCTGAGTGGCTGCAGGGCCTTGCAGCACCTCCCGGAGTTCCTCACCCAGCTGCACCAGCTGTTACTGAGTGATACCTCCATCACCTCCGTCCCTACAAATCTCGTGCAACTGACGGAGGAGCGTTGACTCGGCTGGCTACCTTGGGCTCAATTGCAGCTGACTGAGGTGAGGTGGGTGTCACCAAGTGGGGAGTTTGCTGAGAGTTGGTGAGGAGAGGGTGAGTGTGGCTGGGGATGGCTGGGATGTCCCCCCCCCCCCCCCCCTCCCCCTCCCCCCCCCCCCTCCTCCCCCTTCCCCCCCCCCCCAGTTCCAGTTCCAGATCCGCACCTGCTTCTCCTACACTGAGTCACAGATTCAAGCCCCTACAACATTATTTCCCTCATCCCTCGCCGCTGTCTCTGCATCTGCTTCTCCTATACCAACTTTCATCCCACAGGACCTTGCTTCTACGGCATTGGCTCTCACATTCCGCGCATAAGTCACTGCCCTTTTTTCTCGTTTACCCACCCCCCTCCCCCCCCCAGCTCTGCAGTTGCAGGCAGTGGCAGGACAGTGGGAGGGCAGTGGTAGGGCAGTGAAGCTGCTGCTAGGGGAGGGAAGCTGCTGCCAGGGGAGGGAAGCTGCTGCCAGGGGAGGGAAGCTACTGGCAGGGGAGGGAAGCTGCTGGCAGGGGAGATGAATGAGTGGATGGGATTGTTCAGGGACTTGTAGCATGTTCTCATCATGCGTGCCTTGCACCGACTTTTTTCTTCTTGGTAGTGTTATCTCTGTTCTTGCTTGCACATACAATTTTTGTTTCTTGGTTGTGTGATTTCTACTCTTGCTTGCCTTGAACTGAGGTTTTTTCTTGTTCTTGATGATGATGCATAGGCAACCATTGAATTGAACTCAAGAAAGCAACAGTAACAGTACCGTAATCTTGAACATGTCTGGTTGCGTGTGTGGCTGTTGATGGTCCAAGCCCCCAGATTTCAGAGTTTTTTGTCTGATTTGCTTGTTTTAGTCTGAGATTTCAGATTTTTTTTTAGGGAGTACTCTGTAAAATTCAGAGTTTTTACTGCCTCAACTCTGTGAAAATCAGATTTTTTTTATAGGCTGACTGACTCCAACGTTTCAGAGTTTTCCGGGAGTGTACTCTGATGAATTCAGAGTACAAACGAGTTCTGACTCTGATTAAATCTACCTGCGCGCCAAAACCGAGGATTACCTGTGGTACATACATTGTACCTGTACCGCCGCCCTGCGGCCCGATGTTTCCCTCGTACAGCAGGATGTTTCACCCGCCCTGGAGCGCGTTGTTTCCCTCGGTGTATGCTCCAGCTCACACCCTCCCTGCGCATTGATTGGTGCATTTGGCATCTTTTGTCCGCCATCAAGAACTCCACTACCACCCCTGTAGAAGATGCTGTAGCAGTTGCCACCCACGTAAACGTGATGGCAAGCAGACGGTGCCAACAAGACCCGTTGGCACACACCCTAAGCATTGGATTGGTCCTTTAGGCAGCATCGTGTACCACGATGCTGCAAAATCCACACCACACACTGCAACGATGCGCCTCGTTGTTGCCGTGCATGCTAGGCAACCACCCACACAACTCAATGATGGCCCATCTTGGTAAAAGGCCTTCGTGTTTGTGCTAGGGTTTCATCCACACCCCTCAGCTTCAACTCACGGGCCCAAGCCAGTGCCCAGTTTTGCCTCAGCCATCATCTCTCTAGTTCCTGCTCGGCAGGCTCTTTCACAGCCCCGCCATGGCGGTGCTGGACAATCCCGCCACAGGCGACGATGAACCTGATGAGTGGCCTGCCTTGACAGGCTTAGACTTCTTGCTTAGTACACTAGATCTCGATAAGGCAGCACGCGCCACGCCCGATGTGATCCCCACACAGAAAGCACCCGCGACTCCAGTTATCTCACTTTCTCCCGACCGTGTGGCAGAGACATCTGCAGAACCAACTATCGCTTCACAGTCGCAGATTCCGACTCAGACCACGGCGCACACGATCCGTCTCAAGCAGGGGACCTTGACCTTCGGCAAATCAGCGTCGTTGACTGCCAACGTAAAAAACGCTCCCGGAACATCTGACCGACCGCGACCTCGCCTCACACTCAATCTGGCCGAGCTCATCGAGGGAGTTTACGACGACGCGATTGAGAAGTTCAAAATTCATTGGTTTACCCGTTTTCCGTGGCTCAGGATCACTAAAACCACTACCGGCCTGCCTGCGTTCAAGTGTGCTGTTTGTGCAGCCTATGCTGGCGACGCAGGAAAGTGCGGGAGGCGCGGGAAAGGTGCCACCGACCTGCAGACACAGTCTTTCCGTAAACACGCTGGCACGGCGAAGCACAAGCTTGCGGTTGCGAGACAGACAGCTGAAGCGGAGTGCGGTGCAAGGCAGCCACAGATCGACCAACATCGCGCCGCGGTTGACTGTGAGAAGATGCGGACCGTCGCCCTTCTCGACTCGTTGCTGTTCATCAGCTTGTCCGACGCGCCCATGGGGATGTGGGTGAAACTGGTGCGATACTTATCGGAGAAAGGCGTGCAAGGCTTCCCGAAGAGCGGGTACGGCACCTACTACACCACGTGAGTGCAACTGCCGTACGCATCTATTTTGAACACCGACGTTTAATATTGTACTAACCGTTCTTGTTTCTGACTTGTGATTGCAGATACGGCTTCGGTGAGCTGACGCAAGCTACAGCTACATGGCTCCAGACAACCCAGCTGCAACATGTGCTGTCATCGCCCTTTGTCGGCATCTCGATTGACAAGAGCACGGATAGATGCAGCGGGAAGCACATGATCCAGTTCATCACCTTCATCCGTGACTTCAAGGTCGTCTCGGAGTTCATGGCGCTACTCACCATGGAGAAGGCCGACGCCGCTTCTCTTCTAGGCGTTCTGCTATCACACCTGCAGGCAGTCGGGGTCGACCTGCAGCGCATTGCCGGCATCAGCACCGACGGCGCGAACGTCATGATGGGCAGCAAGAGCGGCCTCACGACACGCCTTCGCGTGCGCATCCCCCATTTGGTGTCATCCCACTGCATCGCGCACAGGTATGCATGTAGGTGCATAGGGTTGTTTGAAGTTCTTTAACGTCTACGAGTGGCTACTGTTTCCCTTTTTGTTTTTACAGGGAGGCACTGGCGGCTAAAACAGCCGCAGAGAAGATTCCCGCCTTCGACGTCATTGATACGGTGATCCGCACCGTGGCTGAGCATCTCGGTCGCAGTGGGCCATGGCATCAGCGCTTCATGGGGCTGCAGGAAGTCTTCACCTCCACCTCACTGGAGCTACAAAGGATCCATGCAGTCCGTTGGCTGTCGCGGGGTGACGTAGTGCTCAGGCTCGTCGCCGTCCTTCCGGCTATTATCGTGATGTTGAAGGAGTGGGACGCGACGCTCTATGCGCTGGTGACGAGCTATAGGTTTCACTTCCTCCTGTTTTTCATTGCAGATGTGCTTGAGCAGCTGAACATACTCAATAGGGCCTTCCAGCACAAGGAGGTATGCTCTTGTTTCTTGCTACAAGTTGTTAAGTGTTTATGCTTTTTCCAGCTTCGTGCATTCTTACATTCAGTCACTAACCACCTTTCCACGTGTTTCTTTCCAGCTTGATTATGCCAGCGTGCATGCGCAGATCAAGCGTACAACATCCCACATCGAGAGCCGCTACGTCGATTGCGGAAATGACTTCGGTGGCAGCGTCAGCGAGCTGTTGTCCCCTTTCATCGCGCGCCATGGGCCTGGAGGAAACCGGGAGGTGAAGGTCGAAGGGATCGATTCCGACGGCCGACCAGCATGCTTCAAATTCGTGTTGCACGAGGACGAGCTGGAGGAGTTCGAAGGGCCCGGCACCCACGATGGCTGCGTGGAGGTTTGCACGGAGTTTGCCGAGGTGATCTTGCACCAACTGGAGCACCGGCTTGGCGACCTCAACGGGATGTCCGGCGCTAGGCTCTTCACCCCCGACGAGTACCCCCTGGAGCGAGTAGAGAGGAACCGCAGGTGCCTCGAGTGGCTACAGTTGCTAGTCACGCTATTCAAGGCCGACCTGACGGATGAGATCCTGCCAGGTAAGCCATTGGCGTTATGGTTTTAATATCAGGCTACCGGGTCGCACCGTTTTTATTGCATGTGACGATTCAATGAATGTTTGTATTTGGGTTCTGAGCTTCCTCCTTTTTTATACTTTTACTTTACCCCATCAGGAATCGACAAGCGCTGCGCAGAGAAGGAGCTGCGCATTTTCACATCGGTGCTTGCAGCATCTACCAAGGGCGAGCGCAGTTTTCACGGGGGTCTCACTGCCATGCTCAAGACACCCGACTGGCGGGACAACTACCCCAACTTGGTGCTTCTGTGGGTGGCGGTTGCTGTATTGCCGCTGAGCACTGTGGAGTGCGAGCGGGGGTTCTCCCGCCATAACATCATTAAGTCGTGGAAGAGGGGCGCGCTTAAGGATGCACGCCTGGAGGACCTGATGTGCATGAGCTTGATGGATTACGCCCCCGACTGGGATGAGATTGTGACCGTCTGGAGGAGTTACAAGAAGCACAAGCCCCAGAGCAACGCTCCACTCCCGCCTGCAGGAAAGCAACACAACAAGAAGGTCAGAGAGGCAGATGAAGAGATGGAAGTAG